CGAAATTTCATTTTCCACATATCCCGGGTAATATCGAGATTGGCCACAGTAATATCGACACCGTCCTATTAAATTCATCCCGGAACTTCGAGAAATTTGACATCAAAGTTTGGGCTCTAAATAACGGCCAAATTCGATCGAGTGTGATTCTAGCGAAATCTCTAATTTAAAATAATAACCCAAGAGTGATCAGTTCCGGGCGAGATTTTATTATAAGTGCACTGACGAAATACACGTTTTATAAATCCCAAAAATGGGCCGAAATTCGGAATATCACAATGAGGATCACATATTTAGCAGTATATTTTTGTTTTCATTTGGAGTGATTCTTCTCTCATCTTACAAAGGTGCATGAATTTCCAATGGAGATGAAAGATGGTCTGGATATTTTTTTTCCCTGAAGGTAAATCTTTCAATTTCTAGAGAAATTGTATGTATTATGGTTGATCTATTTGTAGGTTGATACTTGTTAATGGTGGAAAATCATTTTCGTCCTTAACAGTGATTCAGGCATGCTGTACGCGCTTGCATGACAAAAATGAAACAAAAAGAAAATGATATGAAAGGTGATACCATGTAAAAAAGATGATTTGGGAATAAAATGAAAATGGGTGCTTATTTAAAGAAGTGGATGAAAGTGGAAAGTTATTGAAAATATTTTTCCAATAGGGATAATTTGGAAATATTTATATCTATTCTGGATGTCATGAAAATATTTTTCCAATAGGGCCTTGGCTTAGGTGTACCGTCTATTTGAGCTTCCACACTTGCACTCGTTGTGCCTATGGTGATAGGCTTGCTCAGTGGGCAAATGGTGTTTTATTGGCGCCTTAACCCGATTACTCCAACATAGGTGAGGTAAGTTCTAATCCTATCCAAACCTTTTCTTGAAAAAAACATAATATAGATTGTTGCCCTCGGTCTTTTTTCTTTATAAGAATCACTAATATTTTTTCTGCTAGCCAACCAGGAAAAACTAACCCAAATGTTATGTGACTGTACTCATTTTTTTACCATTCGAAAATTTCTGATTTTATCGTTTATAAAGGTACTAAACTGGATCGTGATTTGACTATCTAGCTTCAGTATTTTTGTTTTTCTTATGGAAAATACTAGACTTACTAAAATTTGTTTAGAGAATCGATCTGTTAAGTGATGTGTCAGATTATGATTAAATCATGAAAATAACTCACTTATTTGAAGGATCACTTATAGTCCGGTATGTCACTTTTTAATAAGTAAGTTTGTAAAGTAGTCTTAATGAGTCTAAATTTCTTTTTTATTTATTGTTTTCTTCCACATTCAATGCCGTCACATTGACCAGCCGACCTAAAGTATTTTCAGCCTCGCTGGTTCTCCTTTTCCTTTTCATTTGCCCAAAATTTCTTGAGAAGTCATTACATAAAATGTACGATGGGTTTAGGTCCTATAAAAATGTGAGATCCATAACTTAAAATCGATCAAAGAGTCTCGTCAATTTAAGACCACGTCTAGTCGCCATCTAAAAGACCATCGACTAGGTACATAAGTTACCAACATCATTCATTACAAAGTAAAGTCCAATAAGAAATAACCAAATTAGATGAATTACTCCCAAAAAGGTCTTTTGTAATTTATACTGGGAGTTTGATCAGCTATGGAAAGGATAAGCATCCACTACTCAAGCCTCACATTATTGAATGGGTGAGAATTTATGACTAACTAGATTCGTTAGTATATCGCACGCTCAAGATTCACCGCCTTGAAGTACTTCTTTGAAGGATTGACCAATGTAAAAAAGGTAAGATTTTTACAAATGGTAATAGAGCAATGCTTTTTGGCAAACAATTATCGTTCTAAGACGGTAAGTACTCTTCCTTATATGGTGTGGCAGTGTATTTTGATAGTTTCTTACCTTATAAACAACAAAACATGGTAGTTTATTCTCATCAAATGGACGTGAGCTTCAAATTTGGGATGGTGAATATATTATGATTTGGCTTGAATCTACGTAATTTTTGTACTTACGTATTTTGACGATAGGGTTGAAAGCGAACTCATGTAATGGATGCGTATATTATGTCTATCGATTACGGTACCATTTTTGTAACTAGACAGTGTATGGTCATATTTATTATGTACAAGCTTCCGCAAATTCCTTGATATAGCAAATAAGAAATATATTTTACATACAGGATCCTGGAAATAGGAGAATGACGAGTGATCATCTGTTAATATATAACTAGGACGGATCTAGTTTTGATACTAATTGATGAAGAACATATCTAGTTTTGATACCAAAGTACTGCAGAACGGACGCATGTAGTAAAATATGATTGAAAATTATAGAAAGCAAAAAAAAAAAAAAAACTTAGGATAACAAGAAGGGGAGAAAAGTTTAGACCGAAGAATTTAGAGAAACTCAATATCAAGGAAAAACAGGTGTATCGCTCCCGGAACCGTGATTAATGTGGAAATCTTGCAACTACCGCGCATGTTCTTCAACGTGAATTGTGAACGGAACGAGATAAATAATAGCGGTTGGGAACGCTCGACAAAAGATAGTTACTTTTGTCGTCCCATGACCGTCAATCACGCACAAGAGGTAATTAAACTATTCCACCTGAAATTCCACGAATGTTCGGCCCATGTTTTCTCGTACTCTTGCGGGGAAAGCAGATCGTTGATCCGCCAATAGAGAGAATGACAGATCCGATGCAATGATGTGATGAAATTCTAATTTAGATGGTGGGAAAAGAAAATGTTGATCAAGGACATGTCGGGCTTTCAAAGTCAATGTTGTACGATACACCCGTCAACTATCAAAGAGTTCTTTTTTCCGGACGGTGTCTCTAGGAAGATTCCATTCGCAACCCCCATGCGTAGTATGAAAGTGCCCTTATAACATTCTTTTTGGAACGATTCAATTCCCAAAATACTCTTGAACAGAAAAAAAAAAAAAAACAAAGATTCCCCAAATATTGGCCATGCATAAAATATTAATAGGAGAATTATCAAAATATTGTGAATTTATTGCAGTTGTGTCAATTCAGTTATAAACATTTTTCTATACCTATTGAATCTTAAACATTTTTCTTTTGTGCCAATTTAATCCGTCCAGCCAATTTTGGATGGAGATCGCTGACATGGTTGCCGGCGGCCTACGTGGCGCAATCGGCGCTGATGCAAACAATTTTTAATAATATTTTTTCGATTTTTTTATTTTCTTTCTCTTTATTTTTTTTTCCCTTCTTCCTCTAGCTCGTTGCCACGGCCAGAGGCAAGGGCCAATGAGGTTGACCTTGCTAGCCACTAGCGAGGCATGACCTCGCCAGATCTAGCAAGTTTGAGCCTTGCCCTCTTCAACCATTCCATTCTCCGATCCGTCCTCCTTGAATAGAAAGAGTTAGTAAAGTCAGTGTGTATAGTGCTGCCGGCAACTAAACCCTAATTCTAGTAAATAGAAAGATTTTAATCGGAACCTAATTGCCAAAATATTACGTCCTATTCTGGAAAGAAAATATCACATCAACTTGACAAGTTTCAGGACTTGATTGCACATTTTGAAAGTTTTAGAACTCAATTGCACTTTCCTGACAAGTTTTAAGACTTCAAATACACTTATCCTTAATTTTTTTTTTATGATTGAAAAGTTATGTTAGATTTGCCAGAACCATAAAAAATTGTGCTACTTTTTGGATTTGTCCAAAGTCAATATATGGCGATTTCTAGAAATGAACAACGTGGCTTATTCAAAAGAAGCAAAGTTAAAACAATTTTTTGAATCAGATTTGATCTTCCTGAAAAATTCAACATGCAAATAAGCTTCAAGAGTTTAATCGGACAAACCTATACTTCCTCACGTTCCTGACCCCACAAACCAGAAGTAAACTAATCCCACCCCTCCCTTTAATTTTAATTTTAACTTTAACTTTAACTTTAACTTTTAATTTTTAATTTTTAATTTTAGGGTCAAAACTCAAAGCTTCAGCTCTCCATATTATCAAACTTTATGATGAAATAAAACTTTCGAGACGAGTGTCTTTTTTATTTTTAAGTCATTCTTTGGAATGTTTACTCCATAAAATTTAGGGATAATGACATATAAAGTCCCTAAACTTTGGCCTAATATGCAATGTGATCCATGAACTTTTAATTTATTCAATATGGTCCCTGAGCTTTACCCCAATATGTAATGTACTCCACAAACTTTTAATTTATTTATGCCAGTTCAGTCCAATTCCCGGATTGAACTGGAGCCAATGTACACCCCTAATAAGTACCATCTTTTTCATGAAACTCTTCCCTTCTTCGTTAATTTTAGAAAGAGCTATGTCCTACGCTGCTGCCTGAACTTAGGTGGAGCCGATCCCTCTTCCAACAAGCGGATCTAGCTTTGCCGTCCTCAACGTCCTAGATCTGTGAACTTTTGATTACATCTCCCCAGACCCTTTGATTATATCTCCCTAATGTCAAATGTTCCTTTGATTATATCTCCCCAAAACTTTTGTTAATTTCTGACTTCAGCATCAGGAAACCATTGCTCCATCTGTCCAAATACCATTTCAACCGACCTTAGCTTGATGCCAAAGAGGAGCATGAAAAACAAACAAAAAAATTGGAAGTTTGCTTAAGTATGGATAAGACCATAAATAAAAGAACGCGCATTTCATAGAAAATCAATCAGAATCGAGACAACCGAAGGTAATGTGATTATGGCTATTTCTAGAGCTTTTGCTTTCTTTTTTTGGCCTTTTTCCTGTCGGGCTATTTTGATTTTCACATATCTCTCTCTCTCTCTCTCTCTCTCTCTCTCTCTCTCTCTCTCTCTCTCTCTCTCTCTCTCAAATTAAGTAATGTAACGAGTTCATATTGGTCGTCAAATCTGACCCGTTTATATCATTACCTTTCATTCAAACTTTCTGTTCTATGATCGTGACAAATTCATAGTCGAACTCTCTTCTCTCTCTCGCTCATTATAAATAGCGTCGTGCAAGAGCGAGTTCAGCATTGAGTTAGAGCAATGGAATCACAATTACCACCTCTCCATACTGGTTCTTCGGTGGTGAGCGTTCAAGAGCTCATCAAAGAAACCATGAATGCTGTTCCAGAGAGGTATGTTCGTCGCGACCAAGAACCACGAATCCTCTCTGATAATGGAACTACTCCAACGCCAGTTGTTCCAGTCATTGACTTGGGCAAATTGTCCTCGGACCAAATTGCGGGTGATCAGGAATTGCAGAAATTGCACGAGGCTTGCAAAGACTTGGGTCTCTTTCAGGTTTTCTCAAACTTCCTCTTCTCTATCTTTAAAGCCCATTTGGACTTGAAGCTTCGTACGTTGATGTCGTCTCAAATTTTCCTAAAATACATGGATTGAAAATAGAAACTGCACCCTGCGACCTGGACCTCCGATCACATCAATCGGCCCAAATGGATCCTACGACGTCAAAAGCATTCGGCATATCATGCGGTGTTTCTTTTATTTTTATTTTTTCGTAAATGACTCGGGTTCTAATACTTGGCGATGGTAACAATTTTAACTATGGTTTGCATGAAGTTTTTCTATGTTGGATATTGAGTACCTATATGGTACAGTAATGTACCCTGCAGTTTGTTTAAGACTATATTCCACAAATTTAAATTCTTCTGGGTAAATCACATGCGTTGTGACTGAGGGAAATATTGAGGAAGTGATAATCAACACTATATTGGAAAATTTAAAAAATTTCAAGACTATGTTCTACAAAGTTAAAATTTTAAATAGCAATTTGTCTATGCAGCTGGTTAACCACGGGATGGGTCCTTCTTTGTTGGAGGATCTAAGACATGAAATCGAAGAATTTTTCAAGCTTCCCTTGTCAGAGAAAACGAAATTCAAAATAAGGTTAGGAGAGGTTGAAGGTTACGGGAATGTTGCAGGATCGGAAGGAAAGCTTGATTGGGGTGATAGGTTCTTCATGATAGTCAACCCCGTCGCCAAAAGGAAATCTCATCTATTTCCAGAGCTCCCTTTATCACTCAGGTTCTTTCTCTATCTTTATTCACGCACACATACACATGTTATATAGATGTGATGGTCGTGTGAATTGTCAAGATAAATACTCGTTATCTTGACAAGTAGTGATGATGGCCTGGCTATAGATTTATGTTGGTGGAACTCCGGGGGTAGATCTCTTAGGCTCACCAGTGGCGTTGTAGAAATCTTAAGGGCTCATACTGGATCTTGCTTAAAACACGAGCTTGCATACAATTTCTTTCGCTGTGATTGGTTATGTCTATCATTTCACTTAGCCAACTTAATGTTTTTCATATCTATAGAGGTAGGAAGATAACTCATACTTGTGGACTTCTACACAACTTTTAGTGATTTTGGGTCTCAGAGGCGGCGAATGGCAAACTTCATAATGTATATTGTAACCCAAATCAATCTCTCTCTCTCTCTCTCTCTCTCTCTCTCTCTCTCTCTCTCGCGCGCGTACACATAAAATTCTTGGTTGCATCTGGTGCATTTGAGCTTAACCCACATGCATCCTTAGATAAGGTAAGTCTCACGTGGAAGCCACCTGATCTAATGATATAGGTGAGTTAGCTCATATGTCGTATTAATATGTACAAGAATCTTCTACCATTTGTGGCTCTGACACTAATACTCGATACCTTCCTTTCACATGTAGATATACCTTAGACTCTTACATTAAGGAGACACAAAAGCTGGCCATGCAGCTACTTCACTTGATTTCAAAATGTTTAGATATCGAAATAAATGAGATGAAAGAGTTATTTGAGGACGGCTTTCAAACTATGAGGATGACGTACTATCCTCCGTGCCCACAGCCGGAGCTTGTTGTCGGGCTAACACCACACTCTGATGCTACCGGCATCACCATCCTCCACCAAATCAATGGTGTCAATGGCTTCCAAATTAAGAAGGATGGAGTTTGGACACCTATTCACATTGTACCACATGCATTTGTAGTGAATGTGGGAGATGTCATGGAGGTATCATTTTCTTGCTTTGGCAAACTTTCTCCTTCAATTTTAGAATTTCTTACTTGTTTGACATTTTCCCCTTAATGAAGCATGTCATTTTTTGGTCGTCTAGCGAATACGTATTGTTTGAACTCATGATATATCGAGAGAACTTACAGGACACACTCTAGGTCACTTGAAAACACGTAAGATTTCATGTCACATCACCACCTGAACTTGTTAATTAACTCGATCAACTTAGTGCATCATCATTGAAGGAGTTTCATTTGGAGGTGTGGTCATGATGACGACAATCCTGAACTTTTGCCAGTGTCATATTTTTAAGATCTTGATGACCATGTCATTCATCATTATATGATTTATATATTAAATCATGTATTCATCTACCAAATTAGGTTCCGGGGCTTGTTTGTTCAAGATTTAGTCAACTTTAAAAAAAAATTATTCTAATATATTATGTGGAAAGTTTCAAGTGGTTCAAATTTTCAAAAAATGTTAAAGAATTTGGATTGCAAGATTTAGATTAAACAAGAAAAAAAAAGTAAAAGTCAATCTAGACACACTTTGAAATCCCACAATTTCTACATGGTGAAATTTTCGATACCCCATTCACCGGAAGATGGTAAATTTCCATGTATCACTCTAAGGGAAAATCCAATCATGTGTGATATATATATATGTGTGTGTGTGTGTGTGTGTGTGTGTGTGTGTGATATAAATATATATATATAACAATTAAAACTTCAATTTTATCTCTATTCCTTTGTATCTAAAATTAGCCTTGAATTTGTTTCGTGGACAATTCAACGATTTGAAATACTAAGGCATTTTGTCATAAAAGGCATTTCACATAAATGTCAACAACCATGAATATATCATACGAATAATTCGGTTAATAAAAGGCATCTATTACTAGGAGTAGTCAAATTAATCCAAAAGCACGAAAGAAATTGGCCCGGTCAGCTCCGACCAGTTGTTACAGGTTAAATTTCAAATGGGCCCATTTTTCCTTTTTTCTCTGGGCCAGGCCGAAAATGTCCTTGAAGCCCAGCCCGTTTACACTCGTATCCAATATAATTTTCCTTTGCTTATAATTGCAGATTCTTAGCAATGGTCTTTACAATAGCATCGAGCATAGAGCCATGGTGGATTCGACAAGAGAAAGGATCTCAATTGCTATGTTCTTCAACCCTAAGCTAGACTCGGAAATTAGCCCAATCCAATCTCTGACAACGAAGGAGAGTCCATTGTTGTTTAGAAGGATAAAGACGGAGAAATATATCAAAGATTTTTTTTCCCAGAAGCTTAATGGAAAGTCATATTTAGAGAAGATGAAGCTTCAACCACAGAAGGCTGTTGCATCTAAAGGGGAATGAATGAGAAACATTTTGGAAGACACTTAAGCATCCAATAAAAGTTTGTCACATCATATCATAAATATATCTAGTGAATCAATTTCTATGCCGCTTATGGGTATTGAGTGTTGTAGCATCGTTTGTTGTAAAAGTATAATGTCTTGTAAAATAGGTAATTCGTTATACCAGTATCTTTATGTTTGATGATATTGTATATTTCAATTTTGGCACTATTTTCATATAAATAATAGTGGGAGTGTGTAATGTTTACCCATGAGATTTGAATTACAAACTGCAAATCATTTCGAAAAATGTTTCACTATACATCTTCAAACAATTAAAAGGTAGTAAGTACGTAATTTAAGTATAAAAAAAATTTACCCTAAAGCTTCTGCATTCTATTTTTTAATAATATGTTTTGTTAAAATATGACTCAAAGTTGAGCCCTTGAACAAACACCAAAATTAAAGCATATTGATCTGTCTCGATAAAAAAAGTCCAAGTTAGACTTTTGTGATCGTCTATGATGTTATTTAGCATGCTCGCCGTACTCATTACATTAAATTATCTGCGTGCGTGCTAGCCGAAGGGAAGGAAGAAGACAGAAAGCAGCAGATTCTTGCAAGCCACTCGCCAAAAGATGAAGAAGGCAGCAGAAGGAAGTTACTGATTGAGCATGCACATGTTCATAAGGACAAAGATGGAAACATGTCTTTAGAGACCCCCTAGAGATAAATCCTAAGTCTAGCACAAAATTCTGATTTTATGTGCAACGACGTCATTAGATTTTTTATTTATTCAATATGATCTTTTTATTATTTTTAAATATTCAATATAGTCACTAAACATTAAATTTTTTTTGGTCGAAACACTAAACATTTAATATATTCAATTGAATCCCTCACTTTTCATGATAAAGTCAAATTAGTCCTTCGTTATTCACAACTTTTCGTACTTAAACTATTATATTTAGAATTTCTTTTCATTTCAGTTCAATTCCTAATTTTATCATGCAGCATGATGACAAACCTAGGAATTCGGTCAGGCCTTCATTGAATCCGACGACCAAAAGCTGGACTTGGGAGACCTCTTCTACACGTTGTCCCATCCCAAGCACTTCGGGAAGCCTTACTTATTCCCTAACCTCCTCCTCCATTCAGGTTCTTTCTCTCCATGTCATCTAAAAGGAAATTCTACATAGAATTTGTCTGGGTAAAGAAATCAAAAGGGAATTTGCCCTTTTTAGGGGACCCAACACGAGTCTCACGTATTCTTGAAATGTGATTTACTTGATCGAAAATACGCTAGTCCTTACAATACTTCTTTGCTCCCCGTAAAGACAAAAGCATTCATAAGTTGAACTTCAAGGTTGGTTGAATTGGTAAAACTATTGGGACGTTACATCTAAACATTTGCACCTTCATTAACTTTCGTACTTTAAGTCAAATGTAAGTGGGTAAAACGCTACAAGAAATAACTTGTCGCATATTCGTGAAAATTTGTAATGTCCTCTTGGAGTGATTTTTAAGTAGTCCAGGGCTCACACAACCATTAATTCTACCTAAAAAAGAAGGTGTGACCCAGAACGTAGGTGATAAGTTGTGGAGCAGCAAACATTTATGTTCAGGGACTATCCACAATCCTTTTTTTGGAACTTCCTAGTCTGGGCATGAATGGCTTTTCCTTGACCGGATAAGGGATAATGGTTCACAGAGTTGGAATTATTGCTGACCTGACCCATTGAAAAAGAATGTTAGCGTAGGTATCGTCTTAACTCTATCTTGATAGATGTTTCATCATATGGTAATCCATATAATCACGTCACTAGCTCTTTTAGTGAACCAATATTTACGATATAACAGTTAAATTTTTAGGAGGGAAATGAATAAACTATGACATCTCCAAAACGTGAGCAATGCGAGCCGTAAATAGCATTGACTAATTAAACTAGGCATGAACATTCCTTTTTCTAATGGCAAAGGAATTGAGGATGGACAAGACAGATGTGGGGGAACAACTATTACCTAGACCTGTTAAACGGGTGAATCGGGTCGGGTTTGGGTAGGATCATAAATGGTTCGACCCAAATTGACCAATTAACCCATTTATGACCCATTTATTTATAATATAAATATCCCGACCCATACCCAACTCATGCCTGACTCGACTCATATTACTAAAACAGTTCTATATTTAACTCAATATAGAAAAACTTGTTTCTTATGACTTTTTTAAAACATTATACTACTAAAAAATTTTCATACAATACAAAGCTAGTGAACAATTTTTTTAATTTTTTTTAAATTGAGGTTCTATTTATTTTGTGAAAAATGCAACATTTTTATAAAATATTTTCCATGAAGTTATTTTCCAAGAAAATAAAAAAATTTCCAATGTTTGGCTGAAACCTGAAAATGAATTAGAAAATATTTTCTGACGTTTGGTATTTTACTTCATGCATTCATTTTAGTAATTTTATTATTTTATTTATTTTTTAACATAGAATTTTTAATTATTTTTTTCTGTTTCCTTTATTTTTGGCTGGTGGTTGACCACGACGACGACCGGTGTCATGCCCCGAACCCCAACAGGCTCGCGACACCCCTACAACGATCGTATTGAACGTGACGTCCCAGGACGCGTCGCCGACCCAAACGAAACACGCAAAGACAAACGCAAGCGGAAGCGGAAATCAAACAACCCAAGCAATAAACAATGACAAAAGGGTAGTACTTGTACAAATCAATAAAGGCATAACATGATCATGACAGTTACTTACAATATTTATTTACACCAAAACAACCCAGGTTACTAACGAATAAACCACGCTCAACAAAAGGGGACGGTGGTTGGATAGCCTAACTTCACTATTAAAAAGGGGCATCCAAAAAGGGGTGTAGCATCAATGTCCAAAACCACTCCCGGTCTCCGAATCGCGCGTGACGACTATTCGTCACTTCAAGCCTGAAAATGTTTAACAACGAAGGATGAGATAAATCTTAATAAGCAGACCCCTAAACCCCACATAGGCCAATGCATACCTAGACAAGTCTCCGCATGCAATCTAACAATTGATGTACTAGAATTCACACAAACATACTTACCTCGCCTCAATTCACACGTCAACCCCGCATATTAATCAAACACTATAATGCAATAATAGCCCAAGCACATATCACAATCACCCGAGCGCCATATACACGTGTATTCATCCAATTCAACTAAATACATTACACATGCGTGTCCATCCAACTTTCTCATGACCCGGGTCAACACCCCACAGGTCCTTTCTCGCTTTCTCACGACTCGCGTAAACACGCCTCAAGTCAGCCCTTCGATCAATCCGGGCTTTGTTCCGCGTCAACACGCTCCAGGACCTTTCTCACGACCCGGGTCAACACCCTATAGGTCCTTTCTCACTTTCTCACGACCCATGTAAACACGCCTCAGGTCAGCCCTCCGATCAATCCGGGCTTTGTCCCATGTCAACACATCTCAGGACCTTTCTCACGACTCGGGTCAACACCCCACAGGTCCTTTCTCACAACCCGAGTCAACACCCTACAAGTTGGCAGCCCTCCGATCGATCCGGGCTTGTTCAAGCAAACACACACGCCACATAATTCAATCAATTTCCACGTCTTTCACATAATCAAATATCACACAACCATTTCCAAACTACCACAACACAATTCGCCATTCTAACACGTCATATTATCCAAACTCCAGTCATAAGCTCACCAATCCGACGTTCAAGTCAGCCACAATCAAGCATCCATTTTCACCCACGAATACCACAACAAACTAGCCGTTGAACCCGCAGTAATTCAGCCGCTAATTAAGCCACAATATCATTGCAATTTAGTCTACCAACGGGCCACATTCAAACATCAATAATAATCTTAACTTAGCCACTAAACCGATACTAATCAACCCCTAAACAAGTCTAATAATATCCATTATACTAAGTAGGGTTTAGGGAGTCACTTACCTAGGTTTGGTCCGGGAAAAACCGGCTAGGGGCCAAAACCAGGCGGCTCAGCGCGGGCGAGGGGACAACGGGCACGGTGGTCGGCCACAGCTCGGCATAGCGCTCGGCCACGGCCCGGGGCTCTCGGCCACGGCCGGGCGAGTGGCTGGGCGAGTGGTTGGGCGAGCGGCTGGGCGACGGGCAACGGTTCGGCACAAGGCAAGGATGTTCGGCCAAGACTAGGACCGTGGCTGGGCTGCTCGACCACGGCCTGGGCAGGCGGCCGACGAGCTCGGCCACGACCCAGGCAGCGGCTAGGCGACACAGCCGGTTAGCTAGGGCGATGGTCGGACGGCGACGGCAACGGGCTCGGCCAGGCAAGCTGGGCTGGTGTCCGGTGACAACGACGGGCTCAGCCAGGCGAGCTGGGCTGGTGTCCGGCGACGGCGAGGGGCAGAAGGGGAGCAAGGCAGCGGCGATGGGCGAGAGGGGAAGCTGGGGTGGTGGCGGCGAGCAGGCGGCGGTTGGGGGTGGCACGGCGGCGTCACAGGTGGCTGGGCGAGGCCGGATGGGCCGGTTGGCCTCTCGGCATCGCCGAGCCGCGGCGGACGCGGCGGCGAGCTTGCTACTGCGTGAAAAGGGGAGGGGGAGGAGTGAGAAGGGCAGTCGGCCCAAGGACGAACGGCGGGACAGACGGCGGCCCTGGCGGCGACGGCCGAGGTGGTGGCTGTTCGAGCGATTGGCGGCACAAGGCGGACGGTGAGTGGTGGTCGGCTGGTCGAGTGAGCGGAAGAAGAAGAAGCAGAAGCAGCGGCACCAGAGGAAAAGAAGAAGAAAAAAAAGAAAAAGGAAGAGAGAGAGAGAGAGGAGTTTGCATGGGGAGGCGGGGGAGTGGACGTGCGCAACATGGGGGAGGGGACGTGACCGGGCAAAGGGAGAGAGAGAGAGAGAGAGAGTCAAACGCACTCGAGTGCGATGCGATGGCCCACGTTCAAACCCGAAATCGATCCAACGGTCCACGAAAAATCCTAATTATAAATTAGAATTTGGCCAAAAGACACTAAATAAAA